AGAAAAGGAAAAGCAAACCTCACAAGGCAGATGTTACAAGACTTAACACAAAACTGCAGGGCATTCAGGTAGGATCCTATAAATTCATGGATGAAAGGAGCTCAGTAGGATTTGCTCCACCCCCTGAACTAAGTGGACAGAATAAACATAGTTCATCTCCTGTGAGAGATTTGTCTCACTCATGCTTAAACATTTTCAGGTCCAGGAACCTACAACTTTTCCACATTACTCATCCCAATGCTCTTCTGTGCTTCCAGTTAGAGGGCAGTACAAAGTTTCAGGACAAGAAAATAACACATAGAGTACACTGGAAATAGTTGCAAGTTTTAGTAACATGATGCTGTAACTCACCAAGGAACAGTCTTCAGGAAGACCAACTCAATGTAACAGATTATTAGACCAACTCATAAAGCTTAACAAAAAAAAAAAAAAAAAAAAAAAGAAGTCAAGCTTCCATGTATACAAAGTCCCTCACATCTTTTCCTGTGTTATTCACCATCTGTGCTCAGACCTTCAAAAATTCCTGTGCAACTCCAGCACCTACGTCCAACAGAAAACTGGTGAGACTCAAACTTCTAAATCTCTTGGGTGATTCTGAACACTCTTTTTTATGAACAAATTCATCCTTAGTGTGAAGCAAAATCACAATTTCCACTTCTCCCATCATCCCATTCCAGGACACGTCTCCATAATAGCACTCAGTAAAAGATACTCCTCCACCTAAAATGGTCACTGTCTTCCATATGTTTCTTTCATGCATGGATAGATTAAAAAGCTGCTGCTTATTTCTTTCTGAGGGAGTTAAAATTCATAGAGGCCCACTATATTGAAAAGTTTTACAGGGATTGCAGAAGAATGTAAGCAGCGGGGAGGCATTAAGCCTCTTTTCCTTCTTTTTAATCTAAAAACTCTTTGTAGTTATGAAATAGGAACTAGAGACCTCATTCACACTGCTCCTGGCAGCATTTCTGTCCCTTTTAGCTCATGGAAATTCCTACACCTACCTAGAAATGCAGAAAAACTTTATGAGAAGAGATTCTTCCAAATCATATTTGTAAGTGGAGTAACCCATGTTTGACCTACAAACCATTCTGAGCTTCACCACTGAAATTAAAAGTGGCATCTGCCAGTTAACAGCAAAATCTCATTATTACTTGAACAGGAGAAAGAAATTCAATTTGATTTTCAAGTTCACTAAGGATACATCTATATTGCAGGCCTATGGAGGAAGAGGTGAGTGTTCATGTCATCTGGCTGGCTTCTTGCAGCCCAGGCTGAATCCTAGGAAAGATTGACCCTGAGCACCAGTAAAATAAAGCAGTTGTCAAGTAAGGCAGCAGACTGAGAGGGGCAGGAAAAACACTTCCTGAGGTATGGAAGAGATGCAGTAGCCCAAATTCTGGGCTGCCTCAAAGAGGAGGTCTCTTGGGTGACACTCTCCCAAGCAGAGACATCATCCAGATCAACCTCCCCACCAGGCAGCCACAACCTCAGCACACCCATGCCTTGTCCCAGGCCAGCAAGGAACCAGAAGGGAATAGGCCATGCACGAAGCGACCTTCCAGCGCCGGTGGGTCTTGTTCACCAGGCTGAGAAGCAGAAAATGGCTGGAACAAGTTCTTGCTGCCACAGCATTACTGGTACTCGAGGCAGCTTGCTTAAAAACATTAGAGGTGCCTCCCTTTGGGCTAGTCATGCTTTCTAACAGAGGTATGCTTTGGGAAGCTAGTAGGATATTTGGGCTGTTATATAGGCAGCTGTCAAAGAAAAATAAAATCAGGCACTGATTGCTGTGATAAAGGAACTGGAACCTGAGGAGTCTGAAGTGCTTCACAAACAGTTCTCATTGTTGACAAGAAAACAGCATTTTTCAGCTCTGAATTGGAGTACAAGCTTTAGCTAACCATATCTTATGGAGTACCCCAATGGCATAGTGGCTGCACCTATTTCTATATATAGGGAAACTGAATTATAGAGACTAAACTCATCAAAAAGGCAAGTTGAACCTCTCTATTCAAGTTTTCCAGAACTCTTGTTGTTCCACCAACATGTATCATGGGAGGTATCACTGAACGCTTTTCTCCTAGAATAAAACAGGTATGAAGTATAGCTGCCTGGAGGTGCCACAGAGATATTGCTAACTTAGAAGAGAAAACAGTCTTCACGATATTCATGTTTTATCAAAAACTATATTTTTCCCTAGAAAACTGATACATTTATTTTTTAAAAGTTAATTTTTTAGCATAAGAGTTGACTGGCCATTTTTTCTAGTGCCTGAGCCCACTCTTGCTCTGGGAGACAGATCTTCAAATTGCTGCATGTTCAACAGTCCACCAGTGGGAACAAAATCTTGCTCAATCCCTCCTTCCTATCCCTCACAGTGCTGAGAATGAGTCATTCCCCAGTGTAATGCTGGCAAAGAGCAAACCAAAAAGCCATCATGATAACAGAAACACTCTTAGGGCTTAAATCAACAATATTAGGTTGGGTGACGAGTTAAAATTGAATTCCTTATTACTTCAGATTTCTTTTCAGAAAATGAAATAGAAGAAGAATAAATAGAATCCACAGTGGAGGAATTTCTTGACACGCTGAGTCTGTAGAGCCAAGAAAGCACTGCACTCCTAGCAAACATGATCAGAGACCAGTCCTCATTTTCTTTACAGGAAAATGGTTTACCTTGAGTGCCTCCATAGACAGCTGCCATCCCTCAAATATACTCACAGTGTCCTCCAAAACAGTGTGTTCTACAAAGCCTGCCAAGCCTCATGTGCCCCTACAGAAAACTACAGACCAAGACAAGTCAGCATGGCAGAAATTAGTGTGCATGAACAAGAGCACACTTATTTAGCCTCCAGTTACAATGACAAATCACAACCCATTTTCATCAGACAGCTGTCAGCATATTTGCAAAAATTAAGACCTGACCATCAGCTCCTGCCTTTTAAGGTCAGACATGACTCTCAACAGAATTGTTTCCCGCTCTTCCTTTAATTTCATCCATTCAGCTAAATCACCATCCTTTTGACTTCCCACCTGAGAGACAAGCTGTCAGTCTTCAGACCTGAGATGGTCAAGGAAAAAGATGCTGTCTGCCTTTTGGTGTTTATCTGGGGAACAATATTTGGCTAACACACTCTTCAAACCAGTAGGTTGGTACCAAAACAATCCCCAACATAGTCACAGCAGTGAGATAACAAGAAGGACACATGTAACAGTTTCAATAATTCAGAGCTATGACTGTCTATGCTTGTGATTTCTATCACTGGTAAACCTGGAACCAAGACTGGACAGCTTTTCCAGTCAAGCTGTTGATGAAACAAGAGTCAATACAGGGAAGTGGTCTGGTCCGCCAAACAGAAAATATCAGAACAGACAGTCACAGTGGGGGGTTTTTGACCTTCTGATTTAAGAAACAGCCAGACCACAAGACTAAAAGACATACAAAAATCTGGAAACAACCCCCTTAGAGTGCACTAACTCTGACAACATTAATTCCAAATGTTTACGTCTGTTCAGTCTTCCAAGCTGAAGGCAATGTTAATCCCTGTGTGGACATCATTTACCTGTGCCTGTGCTAATGGCAAACCTCTCCAAGCTGACTCATCTAGACCCACAACCCATAGGCCAGCCCTTCCTGGATCCAAGGAATTCACTCTGGCATGGCTATCTGACCTGATGTTCCTAGCAGAGGTGGATCACATCATGCTGATGCATCTACCAGAAAATGCCAAGCTAATTTGCAGTAATTCCTTACATTCTACTAATTTGAAACACCAATGCCTCCGTGTTCCCAGGACAAAGAGGAAAGTTTGGAATAAAGCATGAAATTCTGCCCAGGGAGCAAGCATCAGCTCTCTCCAGGGCTTTGCAGCTGTGCTTACCTGAAGAGAGATTATCATTGATAGGAGCTGTCTGAGCTCGCTGCCTCATTCATTTTTTTGTAGTTGTTTTAGAGGCTACTCCTACCAATTCCTCTGGGACGGTCTAAGTCTGACTCCAGATGAATTCTTAGAGAGACCATACCCTTCTGAAGAGTCACCCATCCATTGCAATTATTGATAATAACATACCTGGTGCCTATCACAATACTTGCAATTTGAGAGTTTTGGCCAGAAATTTTTTCTCAGTGAATGGTGGATAAGAAGCCTATTTTACTTATAGCTTCCATGTTTTACTTACTGTTTTGACAGGGCAGTTTCATTCCTTGCCAAGAAGTTTCCCTGCCCAAGCACTAGGATCACACTGCCTTGGAGACATGCCCCTCCAACTCAAAACCCTAGTTATAATTATCAAGCAGGCAATGCACTTCAGAGAGAGCAAACTGCACAACAAAGCCCAATCCAGCTGAGCCCAGCTGTGGAGATAGTGTTGTCTGGGACTTTCTTCTACAGTCATACCCATAATAAACCAGGACATCCTCCATTCTCACTCCAAAGATGACACTCCAACAAGAATTACTGGGGCATTTTTGGCCTGGCATCAGTCAGGGTACTGTCACATTGTGAGCACACCTGCTTACTGGTAACAAACAGCACCATATTATAAGCATGAAGCTGGTATAAGTTTAGTTCCTGTACATCCTTTGGGGTGCTTTTCCTCCATGATGCCCCATCCCATGGTGATTGTGAATGTAGACCCATTTCATTTTTGAGAGAAGCTTCCAATTATTTTTCATTATTAATCTGTTTATTTAGTAGTCTCACACTAAGTTATCACAGGGAATTTTTGCATGGGGAAAATATAAAAAAAAAGAAATGAGCCAACTTACTTTATTGCTGAAATCAATGTTAGGTGACCGGTGAAGTTTCTAATACTTACAGCCCTAGTACAGGGGAAATAAGATGAACAGCAGCTCCTCCAACATCACCTTAGGAAACCAATCAAGGTGGCTATTATTTTTATCTTCTAGGAGTCTAATACACATAATCATTATTTAGGTAGATATGGCAAGTAAGACCTCACAAAAACACACAGGGTATCATATTCTATTGACTTACCTCAACTGTGTTTCCAGTGACCTCATTGTAACATTAAGTCATACCATTATTTTTCTTAACCTGAAAAACAAAACAAAGTTGGAAACCAAAAAACCCTACTCTTATGAAATGCAATAGCTGTCTTAAATATCAAAGCATTTTTTCTTTCAACTTATTTAGAACCATTCCAGTAACAATAAATTGACACATAATTTTTATTGCTATGGAGACTACTTAACAAAACAATACAGATCACAGAAACGTTGGTGGGATGGAACCTCTGGAGGTTACCTAGCCCTACCAACTGCTGGGAGCAGGGTTATTGCCAACACTAGAGCACATAAACTGTGTCTTTCTTTGGCTCCAAAATGCCTGTTTTGACTCTGGTAAGCACCTATGCAATAGTAAACCAGGACAAACTCAGTGCTTCTTGCTCAGGAGGAAGATCAGTGGAGAGGACAGAACTTAACTCCAGACAGTGCAAAGTGCTTGTGACCTGCACCCCATACACCAACCTCTTCTCTACCAGACTGTCAAACCTCAGCCACTGTGCTGAGATGGTTTGCAAGAATTGATAGGAGTAACCCTCTTCCATCTCAAAGAAGACTACACAAACCCAGGGAATATGCAATGCATCTTTCCTGCTGCTAATGACCTTTTTTAGTCCAGGTTCCCTAAGGAATCAAAGAAATGCCTAAGACATTCTTGTTGAGCTCAACCACACATGCCAGAGCAGCTGTGTGTGGACACACTATGTCTCTCAGATCACTGAAAACTAATTTAGGGTTTCCTTCCCCACATGGATAATTATTATTATTCCAAATACATTGTTTCCTGAAAGAATTAGGCTCAGAAACAATAACTGTCTTGCTCCTGGGTGGGGAGGCTATCATACAGCTCAGCCTTAGCTTCTGATTCTTTCTGCTAGAGTTTCAGTATCCATCAGATTGTTCCCAGGTTGCATCCTTCCAATTTCTTGACCTTAGAGGAAGCTGTGATAGACAATATAGAGCAAGACTGGGGTTTTCAGAAGGTTCAGCAGCAGCAGACTATGTCAAATTTTTCAAAAGGTGGCCACATCCAAAGAAGTCTTCCAAGAAGTCAAGATTCCAAAAACCCAGGCCCAAGCTATTAAGAAAGATTAATAGCATCAAATACTAGAGACCTCAAGGGAACATCATGTCATCTTGTCCAACTTGCATAATGCAAATGAGATAATTCCATCTTAAATGCAGTGTGGCATGAAAGCACATTGCCCAAAGACAGCTTGCCCTGATTTGACAACTTCAAAAGAGGCCAAGTTCATACAAGCTTAAAATACCCTCCTGGAAAGATGAGAGATGTGGACTGAACTTTGTTTCATTCTATGCTTCAATTATTTGCTTGTCACACTTGGCTGCTGCCCAGTTTAACCAAGGCATTTGGCTAATTTCTTACTGGAGGAGGAAGTTGAGATTCAAACATGGTTTATTTGAAAATATGCATAAAATCAACTTCCTCTGTGCAAGGGATGACTTGGACAACACTTTGTGCATGTCTAAGTTCCTGTTGGACATTTTTTGTTCAAAAATTTTCATTCATCCTCTATTTTCCTCTCACTGCATTCTGGACCTATGCCTCATCTTCTTTTGCTTCCTTTTGTCCACCTCTGAGGAGTTCATTTGGCTTCTTTCTCGTACTTACACACTCACAAATACACACACATCTGTTAAAACGAAGAGCTAAACAAGACCTCTACCTCTCTGCACCACCACCCACCTCTTGACCACTCCAACATGCATCTTGTACCATCTTCCCATACTGGGTGGGAGTTACTCTCATTTCTTATAGAAATTTAGTCACCTTCTACACCTAGCTTAACTACTAGGTAATGGTAATACTGAAGTGTCAGAAGTCCTTCATCCAGAAAGCTGAGGATGTTGTCATCCAGACATCCCAACTGGGACTCCTAACAACTGGCTAGATCTGCAGTTCTGAATGCCAAGGTCAGTCCTCTAACTCTTCAGGGCACCTTTGGGATCAACTGGCCATCTCACATGTAGCGCAACTACGCTGGGATGCCTTAGGATCAAGTAGGAGTTCACCACTCTCAGGAAAAGGACTAAAAATATTGCAAATTTAAAGTTTCAAACTGTGAAAAGAGCAGGATAGCATAGTGATGTTTTCCTGGAGGCCAACAGACCTTATTGCAGCACATCTTATGTTTCATAAATGTTCTATACCTTGCTGTCATGAAAAAAACACAAAGACTAACTACCTCTTGTGGCTGAATTCTGTTTTCCGGTGACTGGTAAACCTGGCTACAAAGTACCGCACAAGACTTTATAACTGAGAACTGCTCTACATTTATACCAATGAGTTCAGGAACACAACATTCAGTTCCTCTCCATATTGTACATCCTAGCAAAACAATTCATTCTTGAAGACACACATATTTCCCTGATTAAATATGAAAGCTGTTCAAACGCAAAGATGACTCTTAATTATGGCTTTAAACGTACTTGGTCAGAATTACTTCCTTGCTCATCTTGGGAAAGTATAATAAGAAGTAACACGATAATATGCAGTGTTGTAGTTTTGGAGTAATTGCCTACTATGCTTGAACTCTGTGAGGCCTTTTCCAATTACATTTGTAGCTTGCTAATGTTTGGGGATTTTCCAGGATAAATTACGTTAATTGTGTTCCTTGGATCTGTTTTCCACAAAAAGCCCAATAAACAGCAAGAAGAGGGAGGGAGAGAATTAAGTGGCGGAGTTAATTAGATTAGGCTTGTGCTGTAGTAAAGCAGGAAGATTCCACTAAATCCTATAATAGGCCCTAATGAGGATTTTATCATGCTTGTTAAACGGGTCATTTAGTTGTGTGACGGGGCCGCTGAGTGTAATGTAAAAACTGGTTAATAAAAAAAAAAAAGTCTTTTAATTGCACACACAGGCAAAGCAGTATCAAAAGAGTCCAGCCAAATGGAATAGCCTCCAACCAAATACAGGAAAAGCTCTGCAATTCCTGTAATGGTGAACATGTAATATGATTAGGCCACTTAATTTTCCTTGACTGGCATAAAAATTAATGTTCCATGAGTGATTTACACTGGGGAACTTTAATAATCCAGATTGATAAAGATGGAAATTACTTATATTTCCTGCTTTATTTTGGGGGTGGTTTTTTTTTTTTTTTGCAGAGGAGGTAAAAATGAATGTAGATCTTGTTGCTGTTGAATCATCTGTATCTGTCCCTTTCATTAGTGTTTTTAGAAAAATCCATAACAGAATCACTGACTACTCTGACTAATCTCCTTCCGGGGATTGGATAAAACAATCTTTGCAATTTGTTTTCAAGTAGCAGAAATCACACAGAAGAATTAGAGTCATGGAAAATGCGTTCCATAGAGTGAATTATCAGATTTCCTTATCAGTTTTATTTTTAATTTGAAGACAAAGCTTCTGGATGTTTTGCCTAATACTGGGCACAAGAACACATATCTGCACTGACTTCAACAAGGGGTGTAAACATTTAATACTCTTTAGGTTCTCTGCTCTCCCACCACTGAGACCAGATCCAAGAGACTAATCTTAACAATGTAGACATATTTTGAACGTAGTTTTCATAAGCAAAAAAAAGCAAATATAGGCCATTGGCAAAAAGGTTGAAGATATCACTTAATCCACCTGCTTGCCAATGTTTACCAATTTGAAATAAGACAAATGATAGGGGCCTCCGAGCAAAAGAGAGCTCCGATCTCCTGGAAACCTGTAAGTGGTTGTTCCCTACAAGCTACTTTCTTAGGTGACATCTGGCCTGCATGTCTTCAAAAGCGGAGTCCATCCCTTCTCCTAGATGTTTTTTCAGCCCAGAGCTCACCACCACTATATACAATAAGGAAGATGTGTCATCTGTCTTGTCTTGGCCTTTGATTTGGACTTTACTCTCCCAGTGATGCTCCCAGAGATGTTCCCACTTGTTGATGACTTCCTTCAGCATTCAGCCCAGGCAGCATGACAACCCCACCAGCTCACTGGAAGACTATTAGGGCGGCATCTCCAATACTTCCTCTCTGTGCTTTAAAAGATCAATTTGTTTTCTCAAGGCTCCCACTGCAGAGAGGGTTTGATTTATATCAATCACTGTGGCATGTGACAGGCACCGGGTGGTGACTGAGCAGAAGACCACAGTGACTTCCACCCGTCCAGCAAATGACAGACATTACTCCAAGTACCCCACTGAGACGTACCAGCTGCTGCCGCCTCCAGCCCAGCTTGGTGGCACCCCCAGAGGCAACGATGTGGAATAGCAGGTCATTCATAAACACATCTTCCAGCATCCGGTGGCTCTGATGCCTCAACTGGTGAACATCTGCTGGGGAAAATGAAAACAAGAAGTTCAATTCTTTCCTGCTTATTCATTCTACGCTAGTGATTTTTCAGCCTGTTTTAGTTTGCAGGGTTATAAGAGTATTTCAGTGGCAGCATGTGAAACCCTCTGCAGTGATTTGAGCCTTTTCAGGAATGTCCTAGAACTACCCAGAGTCCCAGGACTACCTACAGGTAGAATATCACTGTCCTGATCAACACTTTCTGATAACAACATAACAAGTAAAATAAAAGTAAAAATACCTACCCATTAAAAGTGTGACAATACAAACTTACATATTATTGGCATAGTAACTGTACAATCAGTTGTGTCTGAACTTGTTTTAAATCCAAGCTTTAACAGTGACAAATATGTTCCTTACAGAGCAGCTACGAGAATTGGCATAATTCATGAAAGCTACCTCATCTTCCTTCCTGGAGTCCTTCTCACAACACTCCTGTGCCATAATTATACAAACATAAAGTAGTTTTCAAGATTTATATCCTCATATCCCCCTGTATCATTCTATTATCTTTCACTTAGGTTTAGTTTGTGATCACTGAATTCCCTGCTCTGTGTTTCTTCAGCACATGGCACAATGGAGTCCTATCTATGTCTGGATTTCCTCCACACTACAAATAAACAAATGTTAAAATAACATTATTGCTTACAAGTAGTTGCATTGTAGCATGGCTCCTGGGCCAAGGAAGCACTTACAGCTAAGGTGACTCCCAGATAAACTAGCATCACTGTTTGATTTCCTTGCTTTGCTCTATGAGTTTCCAGAGGTGTGTTCAGACAGATTACTACAGACCAGTTCTTCTGTCCATCAAGATATCTGCTCAGCCATGCCAGTCAACATATAGAAGTGATCCCTGTTGCTCACAGCCAGGCTCCAAAATGCAACCCTGTTGGTGATCTGGCAAACAACACCAGCTCCTGTTCACAGTCCATGTCTTCAAAATTACATTATCAGTGAGTATAGAGATGCTGAAGAGCAGGCTAAGTTAGTAGGTTAAAATCATGCTGATGGTCAAAGCCACAGCAATGTCAGCCAGAAGAGTAGGTAATCAAGGTCTGAAAGGAGATCTGAGAGACCCTTACCTTCAGCAGGAACTGATGAAACAGTTAAATCCAAGCATGTGATCCATCACCATATCAATAACCATGTTACATCCATCATACTACAAGATGTAAATGCTTCTAGTGGCTGGATAGCATATTGCTGTTTAATGTTTCATTGCACTTCACATTGCACAAGTCAGTCTGTTACTCCCAGCATGCAGAATTAAGTTCACTTTACGAAATCATTTTGCCCAGGAAAGGCTTCTGCTCCTGTTGCTCTAGTAATCAAAATTAGCTGTGTATGCATGTGTCTGTGTATGGGTGCATGCATGTATGTATGAGAGCATCCATCAGATATACAGCTATGACTAATAACACAGCAATGACTAATAAATAGAGTCTAGCAAATGTGATCTATGAAAAAAGATTCAAAGAATTGATGCTAAACTGCTTAGAGGAGAGGGGAAAAGGTCTGGTAATGGTATTCAAGTGAGTTAACAGTTGTCACAGAGGGAGACAAAGCCCCTTGCTTTGATTTTGGATTTAGCCCTGCTTTGAACAGGAAGCTGTTCACCAGACATCTGCCCAATTCTGTGCTATGACATCTTCTTGTATCCTTTAGGGACAGAGCAAAAATACTGGGTGTTATCTCTTAAACTGCAGCAAAAGGAGATTTAAATTAGATATCAGGAGAATTAGGAACTAGATAGCTCAGGAAAGTGTGATGACTCTCACAGAAGGGTTTTATGAACCACACAGAAAAACATCTTTCTGGAATAGCCTCTGGGGTGGAGGGATGAATTAGATGATCTCTTGAGTGTCTGTTATACATCTGATACCTGTGATTTGACACATTTTCTGACAAAAGCTGAGCGAGTAGGATGCACTTGAAAGGACTGTATTGCTTCACAACAGAGCAGACAACCCTGTGCCTTCCCTTCCAATCAATGAGGCTCCCAGAGCACAAAGTGCTGAAATAAACTCAAGACATTTTAATTGGCAACTTTTTTTGTTTAAACGATGAAGAAATATGGGTCACTTCTGCTGTAGAGCAGCTACCTGTCAGACACAGAAAAGACTTGTATAACAATGAGACAGGAAATGCTGACTTCACATTCTCTTCTTTTATATTTGTGACCCGGACTTCTCCCTTTTCTTCCTTTTTTTTCTCTCTCTCTTTTGCTTTTTACCTCCTAATACCAAGCACTGAAAACATCCCAACTTGCCAAGTTTTCTTCTTGCAGACAGTTGAAACTGCTAATTGCAATCCCATCACCGAAATGAGCCCTGCCCTTCATTTATACTGTACCATTCCTGTCTTTCCCCTGCAGTTAATGAAGTGTCTCACACTGAGGAAGGAGCAGTTTGTAAGCCCAGCTTTCACCAAGATACTTACAATGCTGTGCTCACAGCAAGGAATTTGAGCCAAAGATCTCTAAAACATTGAAGGAATGAAGAACTACCCACTTTTTTGTAACCTGGGCAGGCAGTGGGCTGCAAATGACTCCAGGTAACTGGGGATGACTGTATTGAATGGTCTTTGGATGCTATGTACAGCATCTCCCCCGAGCCAGGAACTGTTTATTTGCTTTGTCCTTGATGTAGCATAGCAAGTCCATCATCCAAGACTCATCACTTTGCTATTTGTCAAAAGGTCAACAACACTCTGTGGATAAAATGTGGCTTTTTCTTGAGAGGCAGAAGCAATATGCTTCCTGGGGAAGAGCAAAATATTTTAACATGGTAGTAGTGATGCATGGGGAGTAGACTTGTCTTTCAGCTCCGTTGCTGAAAGCTGTTGACAGAAGCTACACTTGTGCCACCCAGGAAACTGAGCAAGCTTCCTGGCATGGCATGAAAACCTGTGGCCACTCTTTGCTGCCCAGAGTTTGAGTTCCTGGAGTTTGGGGGTGCAAAGGTGCAAAGGTTACTTCTTCCCCAGTGGTTTGCTTTGGCTTTGAAGTATATCCTTTCCAGTAACAGGTTATACTGAAATAACAACGTTAAAACTGCTACCTGAATCAAACTGACTTGGGGCCCTATCTAAAATTCCACATAAAAGTGGCCCTAAATATGTAAAGGGGAAAAATCACCTATAACCTGTCTTCAAAATCCAGCTGTGATGGAGGATGTGGCCATAGATGTCTCACAGCAGCATTAGTTTTAGACACAAGAAAGTAGAATTGCCTATGGAATCTTTAGCCTACTCCATGTCACACTGAAAGCCACCTAGAAGTAGAAGAGGAGGGATAATTCCTGTGAATAAATAAACTTCTGATATGTCACGACAACTGCGTATTTTCACACCTGATGCTGGCTCACGGGGTCCTTGCCTGTCTCTGCTGATCCTTGCCAGCCTGCCTGTGTGTCTTCTACACAAGTTCAGAGCTTCTACAATATTTGGGCCCAGGGCACCCCATCCCCTCAATCAGAGTATTTATTTAAATACATGACTGATGAAACTAAAAGAAACAAAAACAATACTGTGCCCCTCAAGGGAAATGTGCTCTAGAGATTAATATGTGGCAATATTCATGTTAGCACCTGATCTCTTCAGACATGGAATGCTGGCTATCATTCCTATCATGGCTGTCTCTGGTTTCTGTAGGAAATGTGAAAAGGTCCAAATCTCAAACAGGATTGCCAAATCCAGGCTTGCAGACAGGGTAAGCAAAACAAACAAACATACCGGATTTTGAAAAATAATAATAATATACATATACATATATATATAAAAATATTGAGGAATATTATATTGCCTTTTATTGCCTTTGGCTTCCTGTTGGGAAGGGTCCATTTTCGAGTCTTATCTATAGCTGAGAAAGCTGAAAGCTAGTCACAGTCATCCCAAGGTTCACAGTTTAGTTATTTCTTAAGCATCTATGAAAGGAGGTTAAGTAAAAGAAGGTCATATGTGTTGTATAGTAACCCACAGATGCAGAATTTCAGTGGGTTTCTTCATCTTCATGGGAAATGTTTAGGAGTCAACAAATTGCAGCTGTTTGGAAATTATTTTGATTTATAAAGCTGTAAGCACCTAATCCATCCTCGTATTGTGACATCTATGTGCAAACCCAAACTGTGCTGAAAGTGTTCCCAGCCATGGAAAGGAGGTGGTCATGTGCCCTCCACTGAGTGCTAAAGCCCACTTCAGATGCAGCCAGCTCGGGGAAAGAACAAAGCTTTGTCATGTTTCTTGTCAGCAGATGCTAAATCCAGTCCAAGGAGAAATGCTCCCAGCCAACAAAAGCTTTAACTTTTACTCACTTATTTCTGTTAATGTGAATGAGATGCATATATCACCTGCCTGAGAGGGACTTCCAGTGCTAAATGTGGGCAATGATTTCCCCACAAACAGCTCTGTCAACACATCTCAGCCAGGGCTGCCCTAGGGCTCATCTGCTGTCCCAAGTTCAGGGCTGTCCCTGCTGCTCTGCTGTATGGTGTCCTCTAATGTGCCCTGGGCTGACACCATCTTCCCCCTCTGCTGTATCATACATCTTTATTCTCAAGAGGTGAATGACTCTTACTATATCTCACTGCTGCTAAAAATCTTAATAAGAACACACATTTACACCCATGCAGAAGAATCAAGATATTAATCAGATGAATGGATAACCCCTGCAGCACTGTAAACCCAAACATATGAACTGTAACATCTTCAGGGGTTTTAATGCCATTTTTCCCTTCTGGTATCTGACCATTATAGAACTCCATACAAGTCAGTGAACCAGGGAATGTAACTGATTTGAAATAAAAGCAAAATGACTCAGGGGTTTAATTGTCCAAGCTGGGCAAAGCGGAAAAAAAAAAGTAAATAACACTTTGTTATACATGATGAAAAACAAATTGAAGCAGAGTCCAATTCTGCAAACTTTCTTTGGGCAAAATTCTCATCACTTTCACTGGCAGGGGCATGTATGAGTTCCCCGAGTGGG